AAATGACAGTAGGTGTTTGCATACGTAATGTATAGATCATATTGTGTTAAGCGGTAACACGTGCTGGGGTTGCCTACGGAGACAAACTTAACGTAGCAAAATATAAAAACGAGTCAGTGGATAGGGATGAAGAATACTGTATTTCAACCGGTCACAACCAGTTTAAACTGGTTTGGGTGGTTACGTAGAAGAGTTGTTGACCGGTGATGTATTATACTGCGGTGCCTATCGCCATTTGACTCAGTTTACAAAGCGGAATTGCTATAGCTTGTATAAATTTAAAACTGCGATTTCTGAATGAAAGTCCGGATAATTTAAAATCGCACAAGAAATTTGTTTGACAACACTCTTATTTAGAAACGTGGACAGATTGTGTGAGTGTGTTCCATCGTGTTGATGACGTCATCTTGAGTTCCGCCATTGATACATACTGTAATTTGTGTGCGTGTTTGTGCCTTTAATTACATTCAGATATGGACACGATATGTATATAATGAACGTTAATGATAAGTGTTGGTACATGAAACTTAAGCGTCATCTGGGTATGGCAGACCCACTGTATTAGTAAGTATTTTAACTGGGCAGACTTAGTGAGAAAATGATGGTTGTATTTAAGTGAATGATGGCCATTTTTTCAGCATTAGAACACTTTTACCATTGGTTCCAGTGGTGACGATATGTTGCCACACCCGGAATTATGAGTCAATTCGAAATTATTCACAAGATTGCACCTGATTGGCTACCCAACCCTAACACTTAACAATCAGACCAATCAGATAGCAGCTTGTTTGTGTGTGTTTTTGCCTTGTATATATAATTCGATTCAACTAGAAATTGTAGGCTGGTGACATAGGGTAAAAGTATTGTATAATTTTACTTATAGGGTAATGTTTGATGTCTTGAATTATTTCAAAAGCTGGGTTTTAAAGAGTAATATCAAATTCTATTATGCTTTAATTTAGTTGTATCCTGTTACGAGTTGTTCTAATAATTTGAATAATATTCGCGCAATTTTATCAAAATAAGGTACACAATCGAATTTTGTTTTATATGTTATTACGTAACTACATCCTTATTGTACATAATTAATGAACATTTCCAACTGATCTATGACCAACTGAGTAGACATCTAGGTCTGGTCTTGGTACACAGTTGGTTTATGGCCAACTACCTGGTCAAACAATGTTGTATTTGAATACACAAGAAAATGATGATTCGTATGACATTGCATGACCTTTGCCTAACGATGTTCCCGCACCTCGACGATATTAAATCCAATTTGTTTTGTCGCGAGATCCGAGGAAGGTAAACACAAAATAAATACATGAAATACTATGATGTAGACTTCGTACAAACGAATCTTGTAAACGTCACACTTTACACAAAGGGGTATATTGTAATTTTATAAATGAACATGGAACGAACGATGAGCTAAGCTAAACTATTCGATGTTGTACATTGTACAAAACAATTCTCGCTGGATTTGTCAACTATATAGTTTTCTTTATGGTATAAGTTGTTAATTGTCGGGGCACAGGTCAACATGTGTGTTTGTTTGTTGGCTAACAATTACCATATTATTGCACTGTTAGATCGTTTACATGTATTCGTACATTAAGAGTTACCCCCTATGAGCAATGGAATCGACCTCAAACATGCTAATAATTATGCAAGTGTTACCCATGATTCCTTGTCTCGATGGATATGGCGGTCTTCAATGGAGTCCACATTTGAATTTAGTTCATAGTTTTTCAAGTTATTCACCTATTTGCCCCTCATCAAGGGCATTCACAGTTTTAATACAGAAGTTTGTACTACTGCTGTAATTACTGGTTGAAATGTTCAGCGTTCTATCCATGAATAAAGAAGTCGTTTCGACTTTCTTTTGAACTCGATCACTTGAGTCTGCTGTATGTTCTGTGGAGATTTATTAAACGTGGCGATTTATTCGAACCGAATTCCCACAGCCACATTAATCGAACAGTGGGCGGGGTGGTGGTAGAGAATGAAACATTAATTAAAACACGTCATGTTGCTCTCACTCTCAAAGATAACTCAGCGGCCAATGAAATTCTGAAGAATATATTGTTCTATATCATATTTGTTACATGAGCATCGAGCCTAGCTGCAGTTCAGCATCGAGCCACATGTCAGCTGCAAATTTTAATGTATATAAAACATAATCTTGTGGGTTTGCATGTTATTAATTGTACGAAAATCCCCCCCCCCCATACCGACCAAACAACAACTTGAAAAGCAAGGCTAATTGTTCATACAGAAAAAACTGGTCATGTGTTACCATAACGACATCGCGTACGCACATTTGGTTCACACGACGTTACAACAATATTTAGGTTCAAAAACTTGCATGTTTAAAGTAGACATTATAAACATATATTGCAGAAATGTTATAAATACATTTTTTACTATTAAATTGTATTCAGTAATGTCAACTTTGCAGTGCTTTAATCGTGAGACACAATTATGGTAATCATGTGATCGTGCCAACGGCTCAGCGATTGGTTTGTTTACTCTGCTATTATTATTGCTTTATTTCGAATCATAAGATCCATAGCAGAACAGAAGAGAACAAACAAATAAATGTATAAGTTAGTACAGCTGATTTTTCCAGTGTTGGACTCGGAAAAGTGCTGACTTCCACTGTATATCAGAGTCACGGTTATACAGACTCAAAAGCAGACGATTTGACGACCTCTGCCCACGTTCATTAAATTTAAAAATGAGATTACGATAAATACACGGAAATGTACTAGCGCTACAGTCACTTGGATAACAGTCTGCGGAATCATGCATTATTATAACATACTCTAAGAGCGTTCATGTTCCATTTACGATAAGTGCTCCACAATTGGCTGCAATAAAAATTGGAAAAAAACGTCTTAAATAAAATACGTTTCACACGATAACTGCATTTGGCGAATCTACGTAATTAGCACTCTTGCAGAACGACCGTCTCTGGTTGTCAATATCCATACTGTCATTTAAATTCGTAGTCAATACGTGACCGAGGTAAGAGTAAAGTTCCCAATAAAGTTAATGTCAATACCATATATAGTAATTGCATGTAAAGTGTCAAGTTTAAGACGTCCTGAAAAGTGCATACATTTTGTTTTGGTAAGATTATATTCAATATCATGATGGATCGCATAGATTTCACAAACATGTAAAAGTTTTCTCAAACCCTTGATAGAGGGCGCGATCACGCGCGGCACATATCATCAGCGTAACTAAGGTTATTATTAATTAATGTTTTGCCAACTAGGCACCCGCTCATGGTATTTTTGAGCTGGGTGTTCAAGTTATCCACATACACATTGAATAAGACTGGCGACATAACACCCCCTTGTTGCATCCCATGAGATACAGAGAATAGTCGCGAGGATTACCAGTTCACAAGAAATCGTATGATGTATGGTGGTTGACTTTGTCAAAAGCTTTTGACGCATCAAGAAAACAAACAAACAAAGACATTACTACCGAGAGAGTTATAATGACGAATAAGCTCTTTTAAAACGAAAACACAGAAATCCGTAGAATGATTCTTTTTAAAACCAAATTGATTGCTGGTAGTCATGAGGTAGAGTTCACATCTCTCAAGAAGCAAGTGTTCCTGCCACTAGTTTTGATATTACTGTTGTAATTGCAATAGGACGGTAGTTGTTCTTGATGGTCATATCTCCATTTTTGTTCTTCAATAGAGCTATGCCTTAAGAGTTTTTATTGGGGAGTTTTGAAAGATTACGTAATCTTTGGATGAATAAGACTGGACTATCTACAATGGGCTAATGTGTATTCCTTTGGGTCGAACCTGATATCTCTACAGTGTAAGAGTTATCTGCATGCGAGTCAAAGTTTCCCACCACTACGTTCATTTCGTAACACATGTACCCAAAGTACAAAAACATTAATTCTCTTAATCATGCAACCTCAACTTGATGCTTTCATCATGATTCACAGCAACAGTAAACCTAGCTGCATTTTTAATAATTGTCACCGTTGAAATTAACATTCTTCAACAAAATATTCCCCTATAGGTGAAAGTGTACATTGCTTTTGTTTTTATTGAAGCTTCATTGGCTAATATGCCTAGCATGTGTAATAATGACATTGGGGAAAAGTACTTCCAATGGAAAGATATATCTACGGATGTGACAGCAAATAGTGTCTGTTCTTGTTTGTTTTTTGTTTACTCGTGTGCAAACTTTGACATCAATAATCTCAAAATGTTTGCTAAATGCGAGTCCAGTGGTCCAACCACTGTTCAATGTGTGAAATTGGATAAGTTATTTTTCTATAATAGTAAACTTTAAGTACTGACTTCTTGAATAATTTAGTTAGAAATATCAAAAAAATCATTGTCATCAAACCTGTAAACCGTGACCTGTTAATTGTGCGTAAACTATGCTTTGACAATGACCACTTAACTGTGAAAAGCGGTAAATACTTAATTCCATATTCAGTTCTGGTAGTATGTTGATAATATTGTAATAAAATATACATATTTTTTGTGATCATTTCTGTTTCATCATTGTAAAAGTGTTGTGAACGATGAAACTATTTTTAATTCCACCAAAAAAAAAGACACGCTATTCCCTCTAATCTAGCACATGGTGAAAGAAAATTTGTATTTGGTCTATTTTTCGGGTGGGGTGCCCACCCCTAAAAATCATGATTTTGTGAGCTAAGTACCCTGGGCGCTAAGTCACCCAAACCATGGTCAGTCATGTGTATAACGAATTTCCAGTGTGGTCGCAACAGGGCACATTTCTTCAAAATCTGAATACCCCTA